CCCATGTCCCTCCTCTCTTCTGCCCTTCCCCAAGCAGCTGGCTCAATCAGTGCTCAGAATAGCCACCCCCCGCCCCAAAATAACCCACAGCTGTGGCCTGGCCCCCGCAGGGTTAACACTTCGTTCTCCTCTGTTCCTGGTGGCTGCTCACCCCTCAGCCATTGCTCTGCCTCTCAGACCCACCCTGCCTGGCCTCTGCCCTTGGGGTCCCCAGGGTCCTGCTCCCTGCTGAGGCCCAGGGGGGCAGCTCCAGCCCCACCCTGCTCAGGATGCCCAGTCCTCTCTAATGAGGGGTTCAGAGAGCAGTCTCCCACCCCTTGGGGACTGAGAAGCAGCATCCCCAGGCTCCAGGGAACTCTGGAGGTTTAATCCCCAGAACCTGCACCCTCAGAGATCATACTGTCCAGGCCCCCAATCTCCACCTCCTCAGGCCCCACTTCAAAGAGTCCTGTCCCCTGCCCTGTCAGAGACTCAGGAGACTGAGCCCCAGCCCCCTCGTCCCTCAGACACAGAAGCCCTACCCTCCAACTTCCCCAGTAGACTCAGAAGTGCTGGCTCTCAGTTCCCTCCTTCCCCAGGACCCAGGAGTCCCGGCGCCCTCCCGCTGCTAGACTCAGGAATTCAAGTCCCCAGTCTCCTCCATGTTCAGGAAGCGAGAGTCCAGCCCCTAGCTCTCTCCTCCCTTAAGGACCCCCTTTAGTCTCGACCCCATCAGCCCCCACATCCTAGGCACCCCCCAGCCTCCCCAGTTGTCCAACTCTGGTCCTGTACACAGCACAGCCTGTCCCCCAGCTGAGGAGAAGGAGGGTGCCAGAGATTCCTGGGGTGCCCCTATCTCCATCACTCCCCCCCAATCCATCACAGAAGAGAGAGGCCACTTTGATCAACAGCCCGCCCCCCCTCGGGTCGTGCTGCAGGCGGCTTCCCGGTCCCCCGCCTGCACCACCATTCTCTCCCACCCTAATGCTGGTGCTCAGAAGAGGCTGGAAGGGTATTCTAGAACCTTGAGGAAGGGGTGGTAGCTTGGGGCGAGGGGTGCTGGGGCCTGGATGCCCTCAAGGTCCTTGGCAGGGGTATAATAGCAGACTCATAGCTCTGAGAAGGGAGGGGAGAGAAGAGGAGCGAGGCAGAGGGCCGGCCGGCGAGGGGCAGACTGCTGCGAACAGGGTTGCAGAGGGAAGGGGAGATGGGAAGATGGGGGATAGATATATGGGGTGTCAGGTAGGTGGGGCTGGGGAGAGGGAGCAAAGTGTCAGAAATCAGGGGTGTTAGGAAGTCTGAGGTGTAGAGACCTAGGGAAAGGGGACTAAGAGGGGGACAGAGAAGAGTCCCCAAAAACAAGGGAGCTGAGGGGGGACAAAGACCCCTGCTCACTATTCAACCTCCCTCCTTCCCTGAGGCCCAGGGCCAACTTTCCCTGTCCTAGATCTGGGGGTCCACGTCCCTACCCCTACCCCTGCATCCCCTAGCCCGGACTTACCTTTTCATGACCCTGTTCTGTCGGGGATTACGGGGGCTAAGACCGGAACCCGGAGTCCAGCGACCCGCAGATTCCGAGGAGGGCTCAGGGAGCCTCTGGGGAGGGGGGGCAGGCCCTGGGGCGGCGACAGTCGCGGCGGCGGCGGCAGCGGCAGCGGCGGGGACCTCCTGATTGTCCCTGGCTCCGGCTCTCCCTCCTCTTCTTAGGTCCGTCCTGCCCTGTCTGTCCCCCAAGGTTGCGGCCACCCCGACTAGGCGAGGACGCCGCTACACATGTTGCGCTGGAAGTTGGGCCCCGGACATTGCGGAGGCTGTCGGGGTGTCCTCTCACCACCCGGACCCCGTGGGGATCCCCCTCCGCCCACCCGGGGTGCCCCCCTCTGCTGCTTCAGCCCCAGCTCCTCCCCTCCCCCGTCCATGTGTCCAGTCCCGCCTCTCCTTGGCTCATTCGCACCCCCCTTTGTGCCCTCAGCGCCCCCCCACACACACACACACCAGCGTCTGTGTCAGTCTGTCTGTCTGGGTCACCTCTGAAGCCAGTGGCTGGTGTGTGTGTTTGTGTGAGAGGCGGGAGACCGTCTGTCTGGGAAACTGCTTGCCCTTCTTCGCTTGGCCACCTCCAGACCCCCCCACCCGGCGCCCCCACTCTGAAACCCAGGCAGAAACACACACACACACACACGCACAACCTCACTTCCCTGGGATTCCCTTCACCACCCCCGGAGCGTGAGGAGGGAGACACACACACACACACACACACACACACACACACACACACACAGGGGTCCGATGGGGGCCGGGCTGCCACTGCCGTCAGGGGCTGTGCGACAGACAGGAGGACACACAGGCAGCCAGGGACGCCAGACACCCAGCTGGACGCAGGCAGGAGGCACAGAGCCCAGGTACACACCATCCATTCGGGTTTGTGGGCCGGCGGGAGGAAACTGGGGGGCCCACGATACCCAGGCAGGCGGCTCAGGGTCGGTACAGACAGACAGACCCTCCCTCCCTCCCTCCCTCCCTCCCTGCCGCCGCCGCAGCCCTTACAGACACACCCCCCCTCCACCAGCCCAGCTCCAGACACCCGGACCTACAGATCCTCACCGGGCAGATGGCAGATGCACGAGAGACCCCTGGGGGCCGGGCGGACCCGCCGAGGCCAACACCCCCAAGCTGGGCACCAGTAGCGGAGGGAGGCTGCGGGCGGAGGGTGGCGGCGGCGGCCGCGGCTTGGAGGAGCCGGCGCGGGAGGGACTCGCACACTCGCTCTGTTCTCACACACACACTCGGGATGTGATTAACATTCAGTCCCCGTCCGCCCCTGCCGGGAGATCCATAGCCCCCCCTCTTGGCCTCCCTGGGGACCCCTCCTCCTGCCTGGGCTGGGGGAGGGGCTGCCCCCCACCCCAGCTCCCAGCCTCGGCTTTCCTCCTGGGACAAGAGAGTGAGGGGCTGCAAATAAAACGGGAGGAATGGGGGGCAGGGACTCGGAACCGGCCATTGAGACGTCAGCTTCAGACCTGTGCTTCCAGGCCCTGGAGCTGCTGCCCTCTGCCCCCTCCCCACTTTGAGGCTTGAGAGCAGGAGCCATTCCCTGACTTTGGTCTCCAACATGCTAGGACCCAGCTTTGGGCTCCTCTTGATTTAGAATGCCGCGCCTGCAAACAAGGTCTCCATGAAGCCAGGAGTCCAGGCTCCCAGCCCCCTCCTCTCTCAGACCCAGAAATTCAAGTCCCCAGACCCCTCCTCCCCAGGACTCAAGGAACTGCGCTCCCTCCAGGCCTCCATCCCCCTTGCTCAGACCTAGTACTCCAAATGAGGGGTGGCTTCTTCCCTAGACCCAGGAGTCCAGGCCCCCAGCCCCTCTTCCCTCAGACCTAGGAGTCCAGGCCCCCAGCCCTCCTCCCCCAGACCCAGGAGTCCGGGCCCCCAGCCCTCCTCCCCCAGACCTAGGAGTCCAGGCCCCCAGCCCTCCTCCCTCAGACCCAGGAGTCCGGGCCCCCAGCCCTCCTCCCTCAGACCCAGGAGTCCGGGCCCCCAGCCCTCCTCCCTCAGACCCAGGAGTCCAGGTCCCCAGCCCCTCCTCCCTCAGACCCAGGAGTCCAGGCCCTTGGTTTCCTTCTCCACTGGTACCCAGTAATTTAGGTCCCCTCCTCCAGGCCTGAATCGCTTTTAAGCCCAACCTAATCAATCCCCCAGGACGGACCACCCTCAAGGGTCTACTAGTCCAAAGCTCATGGATGTCTGTCTAGCCCTCGGAGGAAACCATACCTCTGTAGCCCTTCTTTTACTAAGGGGCCTTGGCCAGCATCTCCTGCGAGTACTCAGACATCCAGGAGGAAAGCAGCATCTACCCCCAGTAGATACAGCCTGGCCCTTGCAGGCCCCCCAGGGCCAGCTGCCCAGCTCCTACTCCTCCTGCTAGGGAGGCTGGGCCCAGCACTTCTACGAAGTGTAGGGGAGAGTATGGCACAGACCGCCTGGGCCCCTGACGGCAGAGCCAGGAGTGAGTGAGTGTGTGTGTGTGTGTGTGTGTGTCTGTGAGGGGCAATTCTGGAGCGGGGCTGGAGCCAGGGCTGTGGGCTGCTGCTGACCCCAGGGTGAAGGCGTATCTTCCTGAAAAAGAAGAGACTGGGACCTGAATTTGTGGGTCTCGGAGGGAGGGAGGTATTGTGTCCCTAGATTCCTGGGTCTAGGATGCTCCAAACACAAGCCGGTTGAAGTGGGACCCTGAGGAAGCTGGGCTGGGGTCCTGGGGGATGAGGGGGTGGGGTTCCAAACTGCTGGGTCCTGGGGACGAGGGGCTGGGGGCTTGGACTTGTGAGTCCTAGGGGAGGAGGGGGTGAGGTTTCAGATCTCTGGTTTTTGAGGGAGAAGAGGCCTGGAGCCTGGACTCTTGGGCCCTGGGAGGGGAGGGGGCTGGGGGCTTGGTCTCCCTTGTCCTAGGGACTCCCGCATGGGAGCGAGGCGCTGCGGGCTGCTTTCTCATCCTTTGAATGAATTAGAGCTTGAGGCCCATGCAAAACCAGCCTCTGGGTGCCTGTCTAGGATTTTTTTTTTTAATACATTTTTTTCTGTATTGATTTTAGAGAGAGAAAGAAACACCGATGAGAGAGAACATCGATTGGCCGCCTTCTGCATGGCCCCCACTGGGGATTTGGCCCACAACCTGGACATGTGCCCTGACCGGAATCGCACCAGCGACCTTTTGGTGCCTGGGTCGCTGCTCAGCCACTGAGCCACAACGGCCGGGCCCTGTCTAGGATTTTTAAAGCTCAGCGGTCACCCTCCCTAATCGCTGTCAAGGGCAGAGGCTGAGCACAGACTGCCTAGCGGAGCAGGTGCCAGATTTGGGAGCTTCGGATCCCAGCGAACCCGCAAATATCTAGGAGGCGGCTCTTGGGGTGCATTCAGCGCCGGTTCTGCAAGCCGGCTGGTGCGGAGCAGGGGGCGCCAGAGAGCCGGGACCCCGCCCTCCGGGGCGGAGCCTCCCGGCCCGGGCTCCTCCCCCTCCCGCCCTCCTCCCACTTCCCAGCTCCGGCTCTGCCACCAGCTCCCGCCTCGGATCCCCCTCCCTGAGCCCCCTCCCAGGAGCGGAGCCCACCCGAGGGGCCCTCTCCCGTCCTCCAGCCAGCCGCCCGGCCAGAACAGCAGCCCCGGGGGGCAGTCCCCCAACAGCCTGCCTCCCTCCAGCCCTTCTAGAACCCCCAAACATGAATCTCTTCCGATTCCTGGGAGACCTCTCCCACCTCCTAGCCATCATTTTGCTACTGCTCAAAATCTGGAAGTCCCGCTCGTGTGCTGGTGAGACGCCCACGGGAGCCGGGAAGGGGGGCAGTGCGGGGGACATTCAGGGCTCGGGGACGGGTTTGGAGGCACTAGGGGACGGTCCCTCCCCCTACCGCTTGCTGGGGATACCCCCCCTGCCAGGTTCGGGGTCACCGGGGGGTCAGCTCCCTTCACCAGACCGGGGGTGCATACACTTCGGTGGGGGTGGCTCCAGGCACCCAGTTCAGCCACCCCCAGCCCCACTGTGGGCGGCCCCCGGTTCTGGGGCTTGAACAGGGAGCCGTGGCAGGCAGGGAGGTGGCTTGGAGTTGGTGACGTGGACTGTGGCGGCCAGGAGAGAGCGGGAGGGAGGCGACCGGTTCTGGGGCGCTTAGATTAAGTGGGGCTCTCCCCGAGGCCCCACCTGGAGTCTGGACTTGGGTGGACCCGGAGGGGGCCGGAGGTGGCCGTGAGGCCTAGCCCGGGACAGAGCCTCGGGCTGGAGTAGCTCTGGGGCCGGGCTGCCCCCTGGCTGTGGGCCGTGGGAAAGGGCCCTGCTCAGGCAGGGCGGGCAGGGGAGGCCTCCAGACAACTGCACTCCAGAGCTGCCTGCGGGCTCATCCCAGGCGCTGGGCCTTGGTTTATCCCCCTGCAGCCCACCCCCAGCCTCCCCCGACTCTTTCTGCACACAGGGATTTCAGGGAAGAGCCAGGTCCTGTTTGCTGTGGTGTTCACTGCCCGCTACCTGGACCTTTTCACCAACTACATCTCACTGTACAACACGTGCATGAAGGTAAAGCCCTACCCCACCGCTGGGCTCTCCTCAGGGGGGCGTGTGGGTCCCAGGCTTCTGGGTGTGAGGGTGGAGGGGCCGGGGTTCCAGACTCCGGGACTGAGCCTGTTGAGGGCGCAGGGCCGGTGCTGAGAGCTGAAGGGCCCTCATTATCCCTCTTGACAGGTGGTCTACATCGCCTGCTCCTTCACCACAGTCTGGATGATTTACAGCAAGTTCAAAGCCACTTATGATGGGAATCACGACACGTTCCGGGTGGAGTTTCTCGTTGTTCCCACGGCCATCCTGGCGTTCCTGGTCAACCACGACTTCACCCCTCTAGAGGTAGGCTGCCTGGAAGGGTCCCTGTAGTGGGGGATGGGCTTTGGCAGAACAGCTAATGACAGTGCACCCTCTGAACAGCTTTGTTCCGCAAAGATTTGCTCAGATTTCCTTATTTTAGGGCATAAGTTCAGGGCCTGGGCTCTGGAATCAGATGATATTAATGCAACAGTAGCGGCGCTCACTGTGGGCCAGGTGCTGCTCTGAGTATTTCATGTACTTGAACCCATTGCTTTCACGGCGGCCTCATTTTACAGATGAGGAAACAGGCTTAGGGAGTCTAAATGACTCGTCCAAGGTCAGCAGCCCGGTGAGCAGCTCAGGAATTGGGAACAGGGGCTCTGGAGCCAGGCTACTCGGATTGGATTCCCAGATCTGCGACTTTCCATCAGTGTGACCTTGGGCATGTGACTTGACCTCTCTGTGTCTCACTTTCCTTATTTATAAAGTTGAGATCAGGTCACGTGAGGATTTACTGAGATTATACAGCATCGCCTCGGGTGAAATGTAGACTCTAGAACCAGAGGGCAGGGCTTTGAAGCCCACTTAGCGGCTGTGGGAAGTCAGTTGCTCTGTGCGTCAGTTTACTTGTCTGTAAAATGGGGATAACCAATTCCTACTTCAGAGTTCTAAGGAGGGTTTGATATTGGTAAAGCAGTGTCTGGTACTCGGTAGAAAGTTCTGTGTTAATGTTTCTCCAGTGACTAAAGTGTTTAGTCATGCTGATACTTTTACCCCTAAACATTAGCTGTCATGTTTTTGTTTTTTTTAATCCTCACCTGAGGACATTTTTTGATATTTTGTTCAGATAGAGTGGGAGGGAGGGAGGGAGGGAGAGAGAGAGAGAGAGAGAGAGAAACATCGATGTGAAAGGGACACATCGAGTGGCTGCCACCCACACGACCCAACCAGGGCCGGGGACAAACTGCAACCGAGGTACATGCCCTTAGCAGGAACCGAACCTGGGTCTCTCTGGACCGCAGGCCGACGCTCTAACCGCTGAGCCAAACCGGCCAAGGCAGCTGTCATGGTTTTTATTCTGTGGCATTTGGTGGCACCTGTGCAAACCTGGGGGCACTTTGAGAGGGCCTACGCCGCCAAGTCTGCGCGGTCCTGCGTCCCGAGGCCCGGCAGGGAGCCCATTCAGAGCAGCCTGTCCTCCCCTAGGCTCACTCTGCCGTGTAGGAAGCTGGGCTGATGTTTCCCACAGAAGCCACAGTGAAGGAGTTTTCCTGCAAGATCTTGCTTTACAATTCTGGCCACAGATTCAAAATATACTTCTAAAAGCACCCTGCAGGCCAGACAAATCTGACAGAGGGTGATTTTGGCCCACAGGTCCCAGAAATGTCCAAAGGAGGCAGCACCATGTTGTGGTGGGAACGCCAGGTTTAGCTGTAGGCCCTGGACTTTGCGAACATATTGTCACCATCTTGCCCGGAACACGCACCCAAGCTGGGCCCATTTTGCAGAGTGGGAGACTGAGGCTGGGGGAGGCAGTGGGGCTTGCTCTAGGTAGAAGAGACCAGAATAGAACCCAGGTCTTTTGACTCCAGTTTTTTTGGTTCCCTCATTCAGAGAGGGGAGTTCACTTGTGCAAGGTATTGGCACTGACTGTGTGTCGGGCTCCATGCTGGCCATTCTAAATATGCCATCATCCGGTCTGACCCCTCAGCCACCTGGGGGAGCAGACACCCTCATCCCCATCTTTGGAGAACTAAGGTGAGGCTCACAGGATTTAAAAGCAAGTATACCTTCTTTCAAAGGCCACGTGGCCCTGGCCGGTTTGGCTCAGCAGTTAGAGCATTGGACCAAGGACTGAAGGGTCACGGGTTTGATTCCCAGTCAAGGGCATGTACCTGGGTTGCAGGTTTAATCCCCAACTGGGGCTGTGCGGGAGGCAACCAATCGAAGTGTCTCTCTTACATCGATGTTTCTCTCTCTCTTCCTCCTCCTCCCTTTCTTCCACGCTATCTAAAAAACAATGGAAAAATATCCTCGGTCAGGATTAACAACAACAGCAAAAAAAAACATGTTATTAGTTGGTGTGCACTCAAAAAATTATTTTCTAATTATATTCTTTAAAAATTCAGACGTCATGAACAGATAAAAATAAACATGATGGAGCCCTGGCCGGTTTGGCTCAGCGGTTAGAGCATGGGCCTGCGGTCCAGAGAGACCCGGGTTCGGTTCCCGGTAAGGTCATGTACTTTGGTTGCAGTTTGTCCCCGGCCCTGGTTGGGTCGTGTGGGTGGCAGCCACTCGATGTGTCCCCTTCACGTCGATGTTTCTCTCTCTCTCTCTTCCTCTCTCTCCCTCCTGCTCTGTCTGAATAAAAAATGGAAACATGTCCTCGGGTGAGGATAAATAAAAATAATAAACGCGATGGAAACGTGGCCTCCGATCTCCCCTGTGTTATGATTCTGGCCCCGAGGGTGACTCCAGGGTTAACAGCTGGGTGTGCAGCAGTGTAATTGGTAACTTTCCCGAGAGCCCCCACTAGGCTGGCTTGCAGAGAGCCTTGCTGGAGGATTCCGCGTGATTATGGGAGCAAATCCTGGAGTCCAGCTGCCTGGAGTCTGCCCACAATTTAGTTATGTGCCCTTGGGTCTTAGTCTCCTCATCTGTATAATGGGGATAACAACAGGACTTACGCCCAGCCGGTGTGGCTCAGTGGTTGAGTGTCGATCCACGCACCAAGAGGTCGCCAGTTCAATTCCCGGTCAGGGTACATGCCCAGGTTGTGGGCCAGATCCCCAGTGGGGGGCGTGCAGGAGGCGGCCAATCCATGTTCTCTCTCATTGATGTTTTTGTCTCTCTCCCTTCTTCTCTCTAACATTAATAAAGAAAAAAATAAAATAAAAGATAATAGGACTTACCTCACAGGGTGAAGGCAGTAGCCAGTTCGTAGCTGTCGGTGTGGGGAGCAGGGCCTCGTGGTGAAGGCTGTATGAGCAGGCGTTGTTAGACTACGTCCTGACTTCCCCACTTCCCTCCCACAAACCCAACCGCTGAGGAACAGCCGTACCTGCCACCTGGCCTTGTTCTCTGAGGGGAGCTTTCGGTGTGTCTGAGGATCATGAGTTACCCCAGGTGGGACTTTCAGGTTGCTGAGGACTGAAACGGGGCTGACAGATGTCTGCAGTCTCTTCTTCCCCCTCCCGTGGTGCCCTGTCCTGCTCACGAGTGATGACTGTCCCTAAATGGTAGCCTATGAAAAGCACATGGGAGCTGACTCCCATTCATTCATTCAGGCATCAAATATGTGCCAGGCATTGTGCCAGGGGTGGGGTCATGGGGTGAGCAAGATGAAAGATATGAGCCTCATGACATGTTCTGGTGAGGGCTGCCAGGAAAGAGATGACAGGGTGATGTGACAGTCCTGGGGGGGAGGATGGTCAGGGAAGGACTCTCTCAGGAGGTGGGTGACTGACGAGCTGAGCCTGGAAGGAGGCAGAGGAGGCAGAAAGTGAAAGTCTGGGGAAAGAGCTGAGGGAATAGCAAGTGCAAAGGCCCTGGGGTGGGAAGGAGCCTGGCATGTTGGAGGGCCAGATAGAAGGCCTGGCTGCAGCCCAGAGATTGAGGTAAGGGAGTAGGAGATGAGGTTGGATTGGGGAGGGCCTCGAAGACCAAGCTTAGATTTGGATTTTATTCTGATTGCAATAAGAAGTAGCTACTGGTTTTAAGCCAGGGAGCGATACGGTCTGATTTCTATCTCTAAAGATTGTGCATAGACTGTCACCTCTACAAGGGCAGGAAAATCATCTCCATTTTAGAGACTAGCGGAGGCTCAGAGAATCTGGGTCCCTTGCCCAAGGTGTGATAGAGGGGAAGTCTCCGAGCCAATTCCAACTTGGTCCGCCTTTGGGAGGCATAATTGCCGAGTAATCATGAGCACCGACTCCGCACCCTTGGTTTGAGTCCCAGCTCTGCCACTTACTAGCTGCATGGTCTTGGGCAAGTCTCTCCCCCTCTCTGGGCCTGTTTCCTCCTCTGTAGAATGGGGATGCTAATAATAGCAGTCTCTCGGGTCGCATTGAGGATTAAATGAGAAGACATGGCAAGGGCAGAGCGCTGCCTGGCACACAGGAAGTGCTGGTAGGCATTGCTGTCCTGTTCTCTCTCCAACATCACTGTGCCTGTCACCGCCATCTGCCTTCTCTCCCGCCCTGCCCCTCCCACCTCGTCCTGCCCTCTGCCCCTGCTCTGCCACCTCCCTGCAGATCCTCTGGACCTTCTCCATCTACCTGGAGTCGGTGGCCATCCTGCCGCAGCTGTTCATGGTGAGCAAGACGGGTGAGGCGGAGACCATCACCAGCCACTACCTGTTCGCGCTGGGCGTCTACCGCACGCTCTATCTCTTCAACTGGATCTGGCGCTATTACTTCGAGGGCTTCTTTGACCTCATCGCCATCGTGGCCGGCCTGGTCCAGACGGTCCTCTACTGCGATTTCTTCTACCTCTACATCACCAAAGGTAGCCAGCGTGGGGGCCAGCTGGCGGGGTCCTGCTGTCTCCCCAGCTCCTGCCCCTCCTCGCCCCAGCCCTGCATCACTCAGAGTGGGGACGGCTCCCGCTCCAGGGTCCCAGGGTCCCAGGGTCCCAGGGTTCCAGGGTCCCAGGGTCCCAGGGCCCCAGCCCTGGCCTTCCTAAGTTCCATAGAGTTGCTCTGCTCGGCCCCCACGTGTCGGAGGGAAGACAGCCAGGCAGCAGGGCCCAGCTTCCCACACGGCTGCTTCCTCCTTGGATCCCGTGGAACCCGGGCATCCCTCTCCCAGCCCTCGAGCATGTTCGGGAAGAGGAGACAGGACAGAGAGGGGTTAGGGTGGCCTCTGACTTTTCTTCTCTTGCAATTGGTCCTAAGCCTTCCTCCTGCCCCGAGGTTCCAGAGCTGTAGATCCCACACCATAAAAATCTGGAATTCCCATGTCCCCAGCCCCAGCAGTGCTCAGAGAAGGGAGGGCCTCGTCTCTGTTCACTGGTCTCTGTCTTCACCCTCAGGGACTCAGACCCATTAACGTGGATTGATTGATTGATTGATTGATTGATTGATTCACTCATTCATTCATTCAACCGAGAAATGTACTGTGCACTTTTTGTGTCTCTGACCAGGGCTGGGCTCTGGGGATTCAACAGTAGGAAAAAAGGTGGACGAGGTCCTCCGCTCCCCTTAGGATTCTAGTTGGAGGAGATGATGAGTGAACAAGTAGAGAGAAATGATGGCAAGGAGTGTGAGGCCACGACAGAGAGAACAGGGATGGGAGCAGCTGTGAGGGTGAGGGGCCGCCTTCCATGGGAGGGGGTGTCAGGGGAGGCCTCTCAGAGATGATTAAAGCAGAAACCTGAGCCCTGGCCGGTCTGGCTCAGCGGTTGAAGCGTCGGCCTGCGGACCAGAGAGTCCTGGGTTCAGTTCCCGCTAGGGGCACGTACCCCAAAACTAAAAAACATAAATAAAAAAATAAAGCAGAGACCTCAGAAGTCAGGCATCAGTTGGTGTGAAGGAAAGAGGGGCAGGAGGGCAGGGGCCTGGAGGTGGGCCTGAGCTCTTGGGATTAAGGCTGGGAGGGCAAGAGAGGCTGCTCTCGCCTGACCAGCCCCGCCAGACCCTCTGACCCCAGCTCCCTCTGGAGACCCACGGCCTCAGCCAAAGTCCTTCATGGTGGGAGAGGAGTAGTCACTAGAAGAAAGGGGGGCTCCTCTAGCCTCAGTGCTCAGCGCCTTGAACAAGACAAGGGTCCCCTCCCCTTACCCCTCAGTAATTCAGGCCGATTTCCCCAGTGTATAAGCCAGGGTCCTGGGGCCAGCCCGCCTCGCATCTCTGTCCAGCCCAGCGTGCCGCGCGGTGTGGGAGGCCATCCCCTCCGAGGGGGCCCACGGTGACGCCTGCCCCTTTCTCCCCCCACAGTCCTGAAGGGGAAGAAGCTGAGTTTGCCAGCGTAGCCCTGGCCCTTGGCCGTCGCTCTCCTGGGCAGCGGAGAGAGGCAGAGGAAGGCGACGAACGGCGAAGAGCCTTCCTGTCCAGTGGTGACTTTTTTAAGAACCAACTTTTCCCCGCTCCCCATCTTCCTCCTGCCGGGTTTCAGGGGGTGGTGGAGGACCCAGGGCTTGGGGAGCTCAGGACCTGGGCTGTTTGTAGTTTTTTGCCTTTTAGAGAAGAAAAAAAATAATCTTTCCACGATTTAGTTTTTGATTCTGATGACTCCTTTCTCTTCTACTCTCTGGCCCTGATTTTTATAAACTGTTTCAAGTATCCTACAATGGGGGGGTGCGGGGTGGGAGATCTTTTTTTTCTCCCAAGCCCCTTAGCTCCCCTCCAGATCCTGCCCCTGGCCCCACTGTTTGCCAAACACTAAATCTGTCTACAGCTGCCTCCCCGCCCTCCCACCCTGGCCGTGAACGTAGCCCTTGCCCCCCAAACTTCTGGGCTAGGGAAAGGGAGGAGGGGAGGAAAGGTCTCCCCTATTTTTTTCATAATAATTTTTCCCAGAGTTTGGGGTTTTTTAGTCCTGTCCTCGTTTTGGGGGCATTTAGGGGGCCGGCTCCAGGGTCACCGTGACTCTGCCATCATGTTTTTGTACAGAAGTGATGGTTCTTTGTTCTCTTGAAATAAACCGAGGAAAATGATGCCTCTCTTTCGCTACTCCTTGCCCTCTCTCTGGCGTTTGTGGGGTCCCAGCCCGTCTGTTTCCCACTGACCGTCCGCAGGCGACAGGCCTGGGAGGAGCAGGAAGAAAAGGAACTGGGTTTCCCAAGACTGAGCTGTGCCTTGACTCCTCACGGTCCCACTGGGGAAGATGCTCTGGAGAACAAAGCCTCGAAGATTCTTCCCATCTTGGCCAGAACGTCCCTGACTGTTCTCCCAAAGCTCTGGAGGGCACCAGCAGGCAGCCCCTGTCCCACCCTCATCTGCCGTTTTATTGAGCTATTCTGTTTTCTTAAAAAGAGAGAGAGATCGGTCGTCAGTCTTTAAAAACCAGAGTTTCACGTTAAAATCTGAGTTTCTGGCTCCTCTCGGGAACGATCCGTCAGCCTGACAATGCCGGGTCCTTGTTTCCAGCTGGAGCTGACGGGGTGGATGTGAGCCTGCCGCCACCTGCCGCCACCTTCCGCCACGGTCCCCAGGACTTGGCTGAGGGGTCACTGCCATTCATTAGCGGCTGACACCTCATTTTCTGTTTTTGTTCGTGGAGTTAAAAAGAAAGTGAGAGATTTTCCATGTCTCCCTCCGGACTGGCTCCACACCTGGCCTGTTTCCTTCGTTTGCATTACCTGCCTGGCCCTTGGAAGCTTTGGGGGCCCTTGGAAGCGTTGAGGGTTTTGTCAGACTCCCTAGTGGCCGCCGAGACCTTCCTTAGGGGCCCCCAGGTCTTCTGTAGGATGGCTCTGGAAACTTCGGGAGGCAAGTAGCTGGCAGGCAGGTAGCTGGCGTTTCCTGAGCATTTTTCTAGTGCCAGGCAATGTGGTTACACGGAGGAGCCCGCTGGGCCCTCTGCACCCCTGCAGGGGGACACTGCAGAGGAGGCAACCGAGGCTTGGAGGGCGAGGGGCAGAGGCGGCTCGTGCCCAGGCTCCCTGCCGCTGCAGCCTGGGTGTTTAGCTGCTGCTGTGGAGTTTTCCACGATGTTTCTCTTGATTTTTTTGTTAATCCTCACCCAAGGATATTTTTCCCCCACTGATTTTTAGAGAGAGTGGGAGGGAGGGAGGAGGAGAGAGAGTGAGTGACAGAGAGAATCATCGATGTGAGAGAGACACATCCATTGGTTGCCTCCTGCATGTGCCCCCAGGGCTGGGGATCGAACCTGCAACCCAGGCACATGCTCTTGACCGGGAATTGAACTCGTGACCCTTTGGTTTGAGGGCTGACGCTCTATCCACTGAGCCACACTGGCCGGGCTGTTTTAAGCCAAGGGACCTCCTGTTTAGAGGAAAGTTGCCCAGGAGCCTGGTACGGAGAACGCAGGAACTGCTGCTCGGGTGGATTTGGGGCCGGGAGGTGGCACCTCTGAATGCCATCACTCTCAATCTGGTCCCAGTCTCTAGTTTTCCAGTGAACACAGCTTGGGCCCAGAGAAACTAGGTGATAAGTCCCAGCTTTTTCAGCTAGCGACAGAGCGAGGACTAGAACTCAGGTCCCCACACTCCCCACGTCACAGTGCTGCCCTCCACTCCACTGCCATTTCTCCTGATGCCCACGGGGACTGCCTCCTACTTATTCTGAACTGAACCGTGCCCAGAACTGAGCACGGGGCTTGCCACACAGGAAACCTCACAAAGGGACTGTGGAACCCACATTTGACCCCACAACTTGCATCCCTCTGTCGTCTGTAAAGAAGCGTTCTGCAGGTCATCACGACCCTTGTGTGGGTGTGTTTTGCTCGACCTGCATACCATTAAAAATTTACATAAAAGGATGTGCAATTGTTCTAGAAAAGCCAGCTGGCGCTAGAGCTGCACTGTGTCAGCCGCATGCGACCGTTTGCACTTGAAAGGTGGCGGGTCCAAACTGAGATGCGAGATTTGCAAAGTCGAAAACCGGGTATGAGAGAATGTAAGGTATCTAATATTTTATACTGATGACATGTTGAAATTATAATATTTTGGAAATCATGGGTTAAATAAAATGTATGAAAGTTAATTTCACTTGTTTTGTTCTACTTTTCTTAAGGTGGCTACTAGACCATTTAAAATGCCAGGCCCTGTGCCTCAAATTAGATTCAGGCCTATGGCCTGCTCTAGGTACCCCAGGGCCATGGTGCCCAGTGATGGGTGCTGAACCGGCCCTGCCCCCACTATGAACTTCATGGGTGCTTCACCCCTGGGGTTACCCGCTGGGCCCTACAGACAGGAGCATTGTGTGGCCTGTGCATGAGCCCTCAATGAACTCGAGGGTTCTAGAATAAAACCCCTCCTCTTCCCAACAGTCTCCCAAATATTTGAAGATAAGGATCTCCCTGACCTCAGTCACTGACTCACCACCCCTGTTCTTTTATGAGTCCTCACTGAGCTTGGTTTTGAGTTGGGCTCCTTGTCACTAGAGAGTGAAACAGCGTGGGCTTTGGTGTCAGCAACAGGGCTGGACCCACTGTTGGCCCTGCTTCTTGGCGCCTTCTCTGAACTTGAACTCCCGGAACTGCGCAGTGGGGTACCTGCCTCTCTCCCATGGCTAACGGGCCCCAAAGACCCGCCTCTCTCCTGTCACCACCTCTCCTGTGCCTCTCAAGGTGGTACCCAGATGGAGGGTCTTGGAGGTGGTACAGACCCACTCTCGAGACCCCTGGGATGACCTTGGATTTCTCCCCACCCCTAGCCACTCCAGGAACTGGAGAGGGACAGACATGAGAAGGACAGAGGGCACCTGGCCGGTGTGACTCAGTGGGTGAGCATTGACCCATGCACCAAGAGGTCGCGGGTTTGGTTCCGGGTCAGGGCACATGCCCAGGTTGTGGGCCTGATCCCCAGAAGGGGGCATGCAGGAGGCGGCCAATCGATGTTCTTCTCATCCATGTTTCAATCTTTCCCTCTCCCTTCCTCTCTCTCTAAAATCAATAAAGAACAAACATGAAAAAACTAAAAAACAAAAGGACAGAGGGCTGTTTTCAGAAACCCTTCTGGAGGGAGGGTGAGCTCTTTACTGGGGCAGAGGAGGTGGTCTAGTTGTCGGGCATCATGGCAAGGCGGGGGACCTTCGCAGAGGTCAGATAGGGGGACAGGGCGGAGCTGGCATAACTCATGTTGTTGGGGCCAGTGGTGGGCGTGTTGATAGGGCTGGTGGCAGAGGGCGGGGAGAGGGTGGTCAGCACCACACCACCCTCATCCATGGAGCGCTTGTAGGGAACAGGAGCATCGTGGCGGAGGTCCTGAAGGGCCAGGTAGGCCTGGAATACCTGGGGGCAGAGGAGGGTGTGCTGAAGGCCCTGGGCTGGGCCTGGCCTGGGAGGGAGGCTCAGGGTGTGGCTGTGCCCACTGCTCACTAGTCACCCAGCACGATGCCTAACGCTGGCCCTGTCTGCTCAGAGGGAGGGGCGCCCTATTTTCAATCTGCCTGGGAGTCAGGGACAGGGCTGGGGGAGGCCCAGGGGCGCTGCGCGAGAGGGAAGATGGTCTGGCCCTCCCACCGCTGCCCTGCAGAGGGTGCCGGGGAGGGGCTCGTCCTCACCCAGAGCGGGATGGAGAAGAAAGAGAAGGTGATGGCGGCCTTGGCGCTGCTGCTCCCGAGGAGGAACTGTTTGGGCGGCGAGAGCTTCCACTGGTTGGTCAGGAAGCAGAAGCCCAGGAACCAGGCGCCTGCCCAGAGGACTGGGGCCGCAGGGAAGAGGAGAGGTGGGGGCTGTGTGGCCTGTCCCCCCAGCCCTCCCCCCGAAGATGCCCACTGGAGGGGAGCCACGCTGCCCACTGCGGCCACAGAGGGCTGTGTCCATTTCAATCAATTAAAATAAAAATAAAAAATTCAGCCCCATGGTCCCACTGGTCCCACTTCTAGTGCTGGGCGGGGGTGGGGGGCATGTGGCCAGTGGCTCCCATATTGGGAAGCGCAGGTACCAAACACTCCCACCCTCACGGAAAGTTCCCAGTGAGGGCCCGCCCAGCCCCCAGCCGCTGGGCTGGGCCCTGTGAGGAGAAGGCAGAGGAGGGGAAGGAAGTGTGGCCAAAGGGAAGCTTCTAGAACTGGCCTGGGGATGAGAAGAGGTGACCCTTACCCCAGGTCTAAAGGACACAGTAATAATTCCCCCAGGAGGAAACTGCACGTGCCAATGAGTGTGAGAAGCGAGGGCAGTGCTCGGGTCACAGGTGGCCAGCTGGGCGGGGAAGGGCGGTGTCGTGTCCCCTCCGGAGCCAGGAGGGCCGTGGGCAGTGGACCCGGGGCTCACCAGCCAGGATGAAGTCTAGGAGCTGGAAGGCCGTCCGGAAGCGGCTGTCGGCGATGTGGCTCTCATGGGCGTCCAGGGCCAGGAAGGCCAGGCAGCTGAGCAGGGCCAGGAGGCCGGCCCCCACGGCAAAGCTGCAGGCCACGTTGTTGCTGTTGAGCACGCAGTGGAGCTGCGAAGAGTCCGTCTTGTTCTGGTAGCCGTCGGTCAGCAGGGAGGAGAAGACGATGAGGGAGAAGACCTGCGGATGCGGGGGCACATTCCAGGGCCCCGAGTCGAGCTCAGCATCTCCCCAAACTGTCTCATCCTCTTGGGTTCCCCATCTGTGAACTGGACCCTGCCATCCACCCACTGGCATTCTGGCCCCTCCCTCCCTGTCCGGTTCTCAGAGCCTCCGAGCTCTGTCTCTCCGGTTGCCCCCTCGCCCATCTTCTCCATCCCAGCTCAGGCCCTCTCCTCCCCCTGGGCCCTCACCCCAGCCCCCTGTGGGCCTCCCTGCCTCCAATCTCAGCCTCTTCCCACCTGGCCCCAGAGAAGCCTCTCCACAGCCTGCCACTCCCTGCTCACAGCTCCCTGGGGCTCCCTAGTGCCCCCAGGACAGAGTTCCAGCCCCTCAGCCTGGTCTGTGGTCTCCCCACTCACCCTGCCTCATCCACACTCCCTTTCCACCACCCGAAACTGGTACCTGTCACCAAGCCCAGGTACCAACCTCAAATGGTTAGCGCAGTGGCTGGGGCACAGGACCAGCTCAACAAGTATTTGTCATCATGATGATTTTCTCTGCCTCTAAACTCTTCCCCTGCCTGCAGCTTCTTTCTCTGCCCGCCCAGCTTGACTAATCCCTATTTACTCTTAGAAAGAAATCTGTGAAGCAGTCCAAAAATACAGAAAAGTATGAAGAGGTGTGTAACAAACATGCAGGACATAACAAACATTATATATATATATATATATATATATATATATATATATATATATATATATTTTTTTTTTTTTTTTGCTTCAGGACTTTTTTTTTTAAGAATACAACCTCAGAAAGAGGGTAGCCCAAACTTTCTCATCTGTGCATGTCGCACGGAGCACACTGTGGTACACTTGTCTGTGTGTATGCTTCACACTGTAGCACCCTTGTCTGTGTGTACGCTTCACATTGTAGTACCCTTGACTGTGTGTACGCTTCACACTATAGCACATTTGACTGTGTGTACGCTTCACACTGTAGTACCCTTGTCTGTGTGTACGCTTCACACTGTAGTACCCTTGTCTGTGTGTACGCTTGTCTTTCACGGTGTGGATTAAGCACCTCAGGAGTACTTCACAAGCACTAGCCCGTGTCATGCTTACATCCCCCTAGGATGCGGGCACTACTAACAGCCCCGAGTTTTAGATAATGGAACTGAGGCACAGAAAGGATGGGAAATTGCCCAGTCACCCAGTTAGCAAGTGGCAGCACCTGGATTTGAGCCACGCTGCCTGGCTCCTGAGTCTGTCTAGTGCCCGGCTATACTGCCTCCAGCTGGACCAGATGCCTCCAGGGAAGAGGTTTCTATCAATACCGCTCAGTGAAAATGTTAAGCCCCATTACTGGTCCCAGACAGCTGCAGTGCAGCATGGTGAGGTCCACGCTGTACGTGAAAGGGTCCGGTGTGATATGGGGTGGGCGGTGGGAGTTGATGCTGGAAGATATTCTGGGTGAGTTGATGCCTGTAAGGAGCATTGGTTGGGAAAGGCGAAGGAATGGGGGCATTGCTGGGAGGGCAATAGGGAGCCACAGCAGGGCTCT